CTGAAATATTAATATTTCAACAAGCACGGAGAAACTTTCTCTCTTGTGCTAAAAAGGTAGTCTTCATGAATTTCAGACTGTTAAAATTAATGGTGAGCATGGTTTCAATAATCAGAAACATTTATTTGATACATCAAGAATGGGTTCATAATCTAATCCACAGTACAGAGAACTTCGTATGTTTCTGTTCAAAGAGTAATGTTTCAATTAAAAACCAAACACTGAATCAAAACAATTATTACTACCCAATAGGCTATTCATGAATAATATTAAAATATGTTTGAAATATAAATATAATCCACTAATTGCTATACAGGAAATATACCTTTCATTCACTGACACCATATTTCTGTTAAGGTGGTCCCCGTCTGAACCTGGTCCTCCTTGTGGATATGATCCTGGTTGTCCCTGATAACTCTGACCAGGGGATGCATCTAAAGGCCCTCCCACACTTCCACTGTATGATCCTAAATGACCACCTTCCCTTGTTGAACCAACAGCTGATGTGGCTGGGCTTTTTGACCTGCATGTAAAAGAATTTTTCACTGTAGCGACTCAGATAAAAAGAAAACTAGAAAATTTTGAATGGCAATAAAAAGTGCTACATACAGAGATGCTGATAAGCACATGTGAGGAAGGTACAAAAACAATTTTGGATTTATGGGGGGGGGAATAAACAAGAGGGCTAGCAAATAAAATAAGGCACTCATAAAACTCTTACTTTTTGACTGAACAGAATTTCAGTTCTACAAATTTGTCATTAACATTATATACAGATACTTTAAGTTTACACTCCAACAACAATACAATACAATTTAACACATTGGTTCGCATGCTGAGCTTGCAAGCAGATGGTTACCTTGGTCTCTTCCTAGGCGAAGGGATGGCTTGTCGAGACCTTCGATCTCTCTCCCTCTCCTGCTCTCGCCGCCTTTCCCTTTCTCGTTCTCTCTTTGGAGACAACTTCCTTTTTCCAGGTGAGAAAGAGCGTACTTTTGGTTCCCTCTGAAGAGGTGATCTACTTCTTCTGGGAAACGGAAAACCAGGGGGATGGCTAAGATAAAATCAGGAGAAAATGCCTTCGATAGCATGTCATAACTGGACTTAACAAAAGTTACAAGCATGAGCCTTCTCCTCTGGCCAGGAAATCAGAAGCACAAACAGAAAAAAATTCCAAGACATACAACAATAAATGTGTTTCCAAGTCAAACACCATATGTTACATTCAAAACCAACAAAACTGTGACATTAAAGCTAAAGAAGAGTTCTGAGGTGTATAATTTTTACTGGTTTCCAGTTCATTATTTTAAAACAAGTTCTAGCACACTGTAATGCAATAAACTGCACACTCTATGACCACAATCATCTACTACCATACAAACTGGTGTGTTAGAATACAGTGACTCCTGTAAGTAGACTCTACCAGACTTTTTAACATTTGTTCAACTTATTTCCATTCATTACCTTCTAGGTGAATGTCTAAATTCCCTGCGATCCCTTCCTCTTGTGGGACTGCTGCCTCTAGCACCTGGTATATATTTTGGTATGGCTGGTGGTGGCATGCGTCGCCTCCTATCGGGAGATTTCCCTCTGGCCCTAAATCCACCTGGTGAACGACGAGATATTCGTGGAGGCGGTGGAGTTGAGCGACGACTTGGTGACCTAGATCGCATTATCTTAAAGAAAGACAACAGAAAAGCAATTATTGCAGAAACTGAGGGAAAATACCAACTAAACATTTAATAATTTTTTCCCATTTATAGTCTCCGACAATGTATGCAGTCATAACATATATCTTACCATCTTTAGACCTTTTCCAAAACTTTGTCACTTCCTGACAAGACTTGCCTAATTGAAAATCTATAAAAAATGTGGATACATAGTCCAACATTACCATGCAATGCTAATGGTCTTATGATATAAAAATATTCTGTGAGTAATGCCAAAATACAACCAAATGTTATAACAAATTAAAGAGTGTAAATGCTGAAAACACCAGGATTATGGTTCAGAATTCTTGTATAATTTATTTGGTGTATACAACAAAATTCCATTATTTGTATATTATATACTTAAATTACTTTTCATGTAACACAAAGAAGTATTTTATGCATGTGTAAATAGTGATAAGTAATATCTCAAACTTGTTTTCAGTTACCTCACAGTACATTCTAGCAGAATATATGATGCAGTAATAAACTTCCTTGTTTTAAGTTTACCACACTTTATACATCCATCTTCATATTGACTGGTTTTCCATATTTATAAAATTTTATTTATTTGTGGTGTATTTAACAGTGGCAATAGTCCAGATTACAGTGTCAAGTGATAGGTTGACTGGTTAAAAATTAATTTGAAAGAAACTGGCTATGCCCTAAGTTAGGTAATATTCTTGTATTTGCCCAGGAGAACTGAGGAAAATCATGAAAAACTGTTAGGATAACCAGTCTTCAAGCCAAGATTTTAACTCAAGACTTCCTGAATATGAAGCAAATGTGTTAACCACTTGACCTTGATGCTTGGTCCAAAATTAGTATTCATATAGAAAGTACATTAGATAAAAGAATATGAATGCTACCTGCTGCCAATAGCTAACTCAACTCATCAGGCTATAAGCACTCCCACAAAATATATGTTTCAATGTTTTTGAAGGCTGAGTGCATTCAGCTTCAACTTTTTAGTCTCACACTATATAAGCTTTAGTCATCATACTTTTTTACCAACATTTAAAAAATGCAATAAAAATGGAGTATAAATGTTAGGTGATATGGTTTGTTAGATACCGCCCAATAACTTTTAAATGTTGGCATACAAACTATTTTCACCTGTGAGCTTTATAAGAGTTCTGATATCAGTTATTTGCCTGAATGCTGTGCCTATGATTGCTGGATTGGTATGTTATTTAACAGTGCTGCTGTAACTGCAGATAAGTAATATTAAATATGGTATAAACATGCTCAGAGTAAATGAAAAGTCACTCAACCCATTCCTGGCACATTCTATTTGTAAAAAAATAAATTACTTTGAAATCAGAAAACAATGTTATATTAAATGTTGGAAATGTCCACCACATTCAGCAATGCATGCATTCACTCTTTTCCACAAGTTTCTTGTAACCCAGTGAAGAGTTTCTGCAGTGACAGAAACACTTTGCCGGACAATACACTGTTCATTTGTTTGGCACAGGAAAATTTGGAAATGTATCCCTAAACTCATTCTGTTAAGTAACCTGCATGGAAATAGAGAGGACGATTTCTTCTTCCTTAATCCATTTCTGGGTATTATTCTAACAAGACGGTTATCAAAGTAATAAGCAGCAGATTACATTAATTATGGGTGTAACATTAAACTTACGCTGGAGCCAGCAATTTTATTTTTAGAAATATAAATTTCCATTGTATTTTGAAAACGGTCTTGTATTTGGTTTATCCACGAAAACAGTTATGCAGCCACAACAAAATGGAGTTATCATTAAAACTCATTTCATTATAAAGTATTCACACCAAAATGGCAAAGTAGTTATTTTTATTATATTCCGAAATAATCTTATTACACACTGTACGTTCTGTAACAAAAATTCCGACAAAGATTACGGCGAAAATCAATGTCTACTGCATGGGGTGTGTGTACGTAAAATTTCCTTTCAAGTAATTTTCGGTGCAAACTTTAATACAAGACAAAATTTGTTTTTATACCACTACAGGCTATAGGGCCATATACATTTACGTCTTGAAATTACCTTTGCTAGTAACACCAAGCAATAATTATATTTTATTACAAATTCACGTTCTTTACTCACA